AAAGTTAAAAATCAATTGATAATTTGAACTCTATCTACAGTAGATCACCCATGTGTGCATTATTCACACACGATGGAGAGAAGAGGTGCAAAATAATTTCCAGGCACAATCCGAGCTTATCCAACTATCTTTATGGACATGATTTAATGAAATGGGGAGAAGAACACATAAATATGGAAGGAAACCCATGAAGAAAAGCCTCCATGATGCTTGAATTTTTGTCTCCAAGCTCTTCCCTCAAGCTCCTTCGTCTTTGTCAAGGGAGAAATCCTAACTTTTCTCACTAATCTCTCTCTAAATTATGTCTAGAAAACTAGCTCTTGAAAACCCTTGGGGATCTTCTCCTAGGTATAGAGATCATAAATCTGGAGAAGTTCAAGACCTTTTTCGGGAAAGTTCACGACACTGAATTTCATGTGTATTGTGATCTAGATGTGGCATTTCTTTGCCTTGTTCACGAAGGGGGTTTGGGGGGATAGAGATCCTAGCTGTAATCTGGAAGTCGCGGTTGTGATCTTCCCGCAAGTGAGACTGTGACACCTTCTATTCTTTTTGGTGCTAGTCTCCTAAAGTTCACGACTGAAGGACCAAATATCTGTGCCATGAGCATCTGCACATGCCTATTCGTAGTCGATCTGCTTTATTTTGACATTGATCTCTGTTTGTCCCGATTTCCCTCCACTTGAGCCATGATCTTTGCGATATGCGTGAAACACACACATATTCACCTAATATCAAACATGCATGTGCTACGCAGCAAAAATGGGCTATAATGTGGATTTATACACTCTTCAATGCACAAATGGGCATGAAAACACTAATTTGGGTGTGATCACCAATACACCCGTGGGTACCCACTTCATTAGGTTGGGTTTGCTCTTCTAAAACTCAATGGATATTTTATCAAGTGTTTTAATGGATGCACCCGCTGGGCTGGGTTAAAAAAATCCGATCTAGTCGAGCCATTTTCATTCCTAATGGATGGGAAACTCAACGAGACAATAATTTTTTGATTCCTGGATCAATTGAGAAAATGATAAAAGAGAGAAATGGATAATGACGTGATCATGTAAATCACCTACGAGTAGAAAGGGTATTCACTTACCCGAACCTTTTTATGGTTTTGGATAGATTAGCGGGATTCCTCCCGGATAATGAGTATTATTCCAAACTTGGCTAAATATGATTATTTGCTCGAGCGCAGGTGGGTGCATGGGGGGAATGGGTTAGGGTGGTAACTCATTTTCAAGTTGTCATCGTGGCTACTTAGGGATCGGCCATCCATATCCCGTCCCACCCATCTTGTGGCCTAGATTTGTCAAGGGCAAATTCGGGAGCTGCACACAGGATCAAAACTCATCCTATGTCAATTACGCTAGGCCTACTCGTATTTCGTCCGTCCCTTCTCTCTCCTTCTTCAATCTCCCTGCAGGCAATGCCGCAATGACCGCCGTTCTGCATCCACTTGCCCCCAACATCAGAAGAAAAACTGGCGTAGCCCCGTTCGCACCGACGATCACTTCAGCCAGCGAACCCACGATGTCTTCTCTGGCTGCGTTTCATTCTTCACTCGCCGGCGGAGTCCACCCTCTCCATCTCTCTATCTCCTCGTCTACCCATCGCTACCTCCCTCTGTTCCATCTCTCTCTCTCTCTCACTCACTCTATCACGGTGAGGATTTGTCGTCGGTGCAACGCCGACGAGGAGCCGCCGAATGATTCCAGATCTGACCTACGAAGGATTTGGTAGTGATTTAGCTTTTAGGTTGTTTGGAATGGTAGTTCCAATAATGCATTGGTAGTGTGTAGGTTGTTTGAATGGTAGGTTCCTTTCATGCATTGGTAGTTTTCTACATACCAATGATTCTGTGCTATTTGGTGTGGAATGGTAGTGTTCATTTGTCATGGTAGCGTGTATGTTATTTGGCATGGTAGGTTCTTTTCATGCATTAGTAGTGATCTGCATACCTGTGATATTTGGTGTGGAATGGTAGTCTTCATTTTGAATGGTAGTTTGTGTTCCATGCAACGATAGTCATGTTTGGTGTGGAATGGTAGTGTTCATCCGTAATGGTAGCGTGTCGACGATCGTCATTGCTAATCTTCTCCCCTAAGCCTGCGTTCCCACTGCTGAATTCTTTTCCTTCCGTAAATCTTGGAACAAACCCCTACTGTGATTAAAACTCCGTATAATTAGTTTCCGCAATGATCTCTCCTCTTTCCCTAATTAATTGCGTTATTAAAATAGTAGTTAATATTAGGAAGGATGCAAAATACCCATGTTATCCCTAGTAACCACCGTGGCTACTAAGACTAAGTATCCACCGTAACCCCTCCCGTGTATGGTGACCTTGGCGCCCAATAATAATAATAAGATTTTTGGCATTTATTGCATATAGATTTGCTTTTTCTAATTATGTTATCACATGGTTGGATGGAATTGTGATGTTATGAGATTGATAAATGATATTAATGGTTGTTAAATGTTCATTACATAAGGAGTTTAGATTTTTTTAATTAATGAAGCGACTTGATAAATTGGTTAATGTGGATGATTATGAGTAGTTATTCAGATTGATATAATGAGGAATTGGATTGAGGTGGAATTACTTGGTGGATGTGAATTGATGACTTGGAACATAATATAGGGTGAATCAGATTTGTGTGTTTAAATTATTTGTTTGCGCTATTTCGTAGACTTCATTGCGTAGGTGGGAGCGACCACATATTCAGGTTAGTAGTTGAATCATTTTGTTTCATTTATAGCAAGTGTTATAAAATGAAATTGACTCTGACATTGTAGAATGGTTTATGAAGGTTTTGTTATGAGGTAGTGTCTTACACATAATTCTTTGGTTGTTGCATCTTATGGTGACGCACAACTGGTCATTCGACATGTTTAATCAAAGGAAGCTACTCATTCGTAGGCAAGCCCATCCTAGAGGATACCATTTACTTTGCTAATCTTTTTGTCTTTGTCGTGTCATTATACTTCTTGGAGCTTCAATAGAGCTATCCACTTAGTGGCAAAAAATACTCTTTCATCAAATGGTTGCTTTAGGTAGGTTACCATTGTTGTGGCATTGCTATCTGTTTAGTAACTTGATCCTTTAGGTTACTGCCTTCTTGTCTTATCTTGGGAGGCAAAAAAAAAATACCAAGTTGTGTTTGCATTTGGGAACGAAGTAGTGAAACTAGACCCGTGACCTGGCTTGTTATATATAGTAGATAGACATTACTCAACACCAAACAACGAACCAAGTGAACAAAGATTAACGCTCATTTAGACTCAGGAAATTTATTGCCATAAATTAACAACTGTGGCACGCCCACATACTAAAGCAACCGAAACCTTCTGATTTTTGGCTCCCTATTCTTGTGATAAAATCTCTGAACCCAACTCACATTCATATCGTTACGGTTCTAACACCATTAAGATTGTGAGAGAAGATTAGGTGACTGAGAGGGGGTGCCTTAGTCACTTTACTAAGTTCATCTCAGCCATAGATGATACTTTTAATCTAATGGTAGAAAACTTCTAGGGATCAATGTGGTTTTAAATTTATTTTTCATAAAAAATATAATCTTGAATTAAAAATAAAAGGGAAAATGTAAATGATGGGACGACATCTCATTCTGTCGTCAAAGGACTTTTTCCCAATCATCGTCCAATTCTCGCAAGAGAAGATGAAGCTTTTCTTTTCCTCATTTATTTATTTATTTTCTCAAAGAGATGTTTGTAATAAAATTCCTATTGGTTTGTATTGCCTATGTTTGGCCCGACTTTTAGAACTGCTTTTCGACTTCAAAAGCTGAAGCATAGCCAAACACATCTAAAAGTTTGGCTTTTGAAAAGCCGAAAAACGCTTTTGTATAACATAAAAGCAGAAGCTCCGATTTGGAGCTTCTGCAAAAAACTTTTTTGAAAATACAAGATTATTCTTACCATATTTTAATTGTATTTCACAAAATATAATTTTATTTCATTTATATCATTTTAAAAATAAAATAAAATATAAAATCATATTATTTAATATAAAAGAAGTCTAACAAGATCTATTTTGAGTACATTTTATTATTTATAATCATTATTCATAGTTTATATTATAAGTCATTTATAGTCATTTTACACAACCTCTCATATTAAAAACCACTTTGTAATAAATTTTCAACCAAACACTCAACTGCTTTTTTTGAAAAGTACTTCTCTAAAAGCTCAAGCCATAAGCTGCTTCTCGAAAAACTACAACAGGGCCAAACTGAGCCATTATTAGTAGTTGTATTTTGTATAGTTAGTACTTTTGTATATAATGTCAGTTTCATTTGTATACTTTTATGGTGTGATTTTGTATACTTTGTATTATTCGTTTGTAATGCATGTCATATTAGTTTGAATTATTGGTAGTCATATTTTGTATAGTTTAGTATTCTTTGTATATAATGTGAGTATTATGTTTTGTATACTTTTTATAATGGGGCTTAGAGTATTTGTAGTATTAGTTTGTATGCTTTTGAAATATTGGTTTGTAATGGAACTACTATCGGTTTGTGCAACAAGTATTTGCTATTTTGTACTGTTAGTATGCTTTGTATACCGTGTAAGTATGATTTGTATGTTTTATTATGTGGTTCATATGCTTTGTAATATTGATTTTTATACTATTATGATTTGATTTGTATTATTGGTTTGTATTGTAGGTATCATTTTTTTTCCTCTTAGTATGCTTTTTATCCATTCATTTTATGATATAGTTTGAATACTTTTATCATCTGGGTTCTATATTTTGTATTGTTGGTTTTTATATTATTTTTATAATTCAACTTGGAAGCTTTGTAATATTTATATAGCTTATACTATTGGTTTGTATATTGTGCATTATTGGTTCTTATACTTTTATCATGTGATGTGTATTGGTTTGTACATTTTTATTATCTTGTTCGTATAACTTGTGTGATTTGTTTGTATATTTTCAATTTTTCATGATATGATTTGTATACATTGTAATATTAGTTTCTATATTTTTATCATATGATTATACATTTGGACTTTGCTACGGTGACTTGCAAGTGACCATGACTTGGACAAAACGGTTGACCTTTTCACTCATATGGTCGACCTATTTGGATAAAACGGTCGACCTCTTCACTAATATGGTCGACCTCTTCACCTCCATCCTCGAGACTCGCCTCTCTAGGGACTTGAGAGGATCACGAGTGCTCGACTTGTCTTTCGGCCTCCCGGTTGGGGTAGGCTCTCTGCCACGACGCTTCTCAATGTCGTCATTGACTTCTGATCCCGACATCTTTGGTGAGGCTCTCGCTCTTTCTTATCTTCCTTCTTGGGGAGTGAGGACACCGGTTCTTCTTTCAGAACCAGGCTCTGATACCAACTGTCACGGCCTTACTCTTGGTCGTGCGGCCCTAGCTCTCGATTCCGTTAGAGATGCTAGGCAGCCTTCTCACAAGCTCTCAAACTCACTCAACTCACAAGAACAAGACACAAGAAGATGGGAGAACTCTATAGTTGTATTGCTCACAAAAATGATGGATGATTTACAAGTGAGGGAGATGGCTCCTTATATAGGCCTCTCCTCATACAAGGCATCAATGCCCCTCATAATGTCCCTCTACTACATCAATACACCCATTAAGTCCCCCCATTATGCACTCTATAAATGTCACCCATTATGTGACTCATAAGTGCACCATTAAGCTCTCATTTAGGTGGAGAATCCTAGGAGCATCTCTATGCTACTAGTCTTCCATACACGCCACATGTGCAGCCGCCATGTTGTCACCTTGTTGGCGCCATGTCATCTGCCACATGTGACATCCTCCCCCACCTATGCTCGCGACGCCCTCGTCGCGTCCTTGCTACGAAATGCCTCCTTCGACCTCGAGCAGCCTCTTTCGACTCTTGAGCCTCGTTGGCGACATTCTCCTCCACTCAATCCACGACGCCCTCGTCGTGGCTCTTTGGCAGACGCCTCCCTTGCCTTAGCTTCATTGCTTGCAAGGTCTCGTTGCACCTTCCTCCAAACCAAGGATGGCCCTGGCTCGCTCTCGAGCCTTGTGCTCCCATGATGTTGCACACTCCTCCGCGGTCTTCTCCGTCGCGTCTTTGAGTGTCCCGCTTTCTCGATCATGGTGGCCTTTCCTTGCTTCTCTTGGCAAGTCGAAGATGATACATCCTCGTCTCTCATGGCTCCACGATGTTGTGCACTCCTCCTTCTCGTCCTTCTCCAACGAGTCTTCGAGTGAGTCTCTGCCTCCACCATCGTTGCCACTTCTCGCTGCTCTTGCCTTGCCAAACACCTCTTGTTTGACTCGAGTTGCTCTCTTGTCATGGGAACCGATCTTGCTCCGCCATTGATGCAGAATCTATTGGCGTAGGGAATCGGGAAAGCTTTCTCCCGCACCATGAACTCCGTGCCGATGATGACCTGATAATCATCCAACGACATAACCTCAAAGTCCGCCACCCCGGTCCATCCTCCAAGCTTGAGTGGCACTTGGCGCGCTACTCCATGAGTTCTTGTGGCCCTTGAGTTGGTAGCCTTCATCCACCCTCTTTGCTTCTTCTCGTACGTGATGCCTAGCCTCTGCGCTTCACCTACGTCAAGAAGGTTGCAACTTGCCCCAGTATCAACCAAGGCTTTTGTTTTCCTTTGGTTGAGCTTCGCCTCTACGAAGCATTGGCCGTGCTGCTCGGGTTGGAGAGGCTCTTTCACCCGCTTGATGGCGCTCAATCTCTTCATGCAACCCATCTTCGCGACATGGGGCTCCACCCTTGGAGTCTCCTCTGCTTCCTCTTCCGAGCTCGAGCACTCTGCCAGTACGGCCTTCATTGCCGACAACTTGTGCTTTCTTGGGCAATCTCTCACACGATGTGGACCATCACAAAGAAAGCAAGTAAGTGGTTTCTCAACCTTATGACTACCTCCTTGGTCCGGTCTGCCACGCCTTCGTGTGTCTCTATCATAGTCGCGTCCACCTCCATTGCCTCCGAACTCCGCACGTTCCTCCGGCTCGTGGTACTCGACTAGGGACTCGGCAATCGCCATTGCCTCGGCAAGACTTTGCACGCCTCGCCATTGTAGCTCCAACTTCGCCCATGGTTGGAGGCCGTCAAGGAAGGTGAACATGGCCTCCTTGTCGGTGTAGTCGGGGATCTCGAGCAACAATTCAGAAAACTCTTTCACATACCCTCGAATCTCTCCTTCGTGAGCAAGCCTCCTTAGTCTCGACCGGGCTTCAAACTCAACATTCTCTGGGTAGAATTGCCTCTTGATCTCCCTCTTGAAGTCATCCCATGACTCCATCACGCACGCCCCTTTATTGATATCGCCTTGGGTCCTTCTCCACCACAGCATGGCAACATCACTCAAGTAAAGAGGTGCAGTTTTTACCTTGGTATTCTCATCTCGAATACCCGAAGCTTCGAAGTATTGCTCCAAGCTCCATAGGAAGTTCTCTAACTCCCTTGCATTCCTCGACCCTTGAAAGCTCTTTGGTCTAGGAATCTCCATGGTTGAGGTAGGTTGTGCGATGGCAGGTCCGTTAGCCATGGCTCTCTTCACGAGAGTGACCTCACTCTTGAGGTCTGCAATCTCCTCCTTCACGCCGACCAGCTCAGCCTGGACATGCTCTTTCACAACTTCAATGGCGTTGTTCAAGGATGTGTTGATGGTGTTGTTGATGAGGGCCACAAGCTCTTCTCGTATGCCATCATGACCAATCTCCAAGCTCGACAAACGAGCATTCATACCTTGAAAATCGCTTTCGACTTGGGCGAAATTAGCTCCCAAATCCTCGATGGAAGTGATATCTTCGGAAATCTTCACCTTCATCCTCGAGACTCGCCTCTCTAGGGACTTGAGAGGATCACGAGTGCTCGACTTGTCTTTCGGCCTCCCGGTTGGGGTAGGCTCTCTGCCACGACGCTTCTCAACGTCGTCATTGACTTCTGATCCCGACATCTTTGGTGAGGCTCTCGCTCTTTCTTATCTTCCTTCTTGGGGAGTGAGGACACCGGTTCTTCTTTCAGAACCAGGCTCTGATACCAACTGTCACGGCCTTACTCTTGGTCGTGCGGCCCTAGCTCTCGATTCCGTTAGAGATGCTAGGCAGCCTTCTCACAAGCTCTCAAACTCACTCAACTCACAAGAACAAGACACAAGAAGATGGGAGAACTCTATAGTTGTATTGCTCACAAAAATGATGGATGATTTACAAGTGAGGGAGATGGCTCCTTATATAGGCCTCTCCTCATACAAGGCATCAATGCCCCTCATAATGTCCCTCTACTACATCAATACACCCATTAAGTCCCCCCATTATGCACTCTATAAATGTCACCCATTATGTGACTCATAAGTGCACCATTAAGCTCTCATTTAGGTGGAGAATCCTAGGAGCATCTCTATGCTACTAGTCTTCCATACACGCCACATGTGCAGCCGCCATGTTGTCACCTTGTTGGCGCCATGTCATCTGCCACATGTGACATCAGACCACTTGGTCGAAAAGGTCGATTATTTCTTGGAAAGTGGTCGGTCGACCACTTGGTGGAAGAGATCGACCACTTGAAGGTAAGTGTGTCATCAGGTCGACCAATTTACGGAAGTAGTAGACCGGTTGACTAAAGTGGTAGACCACTTGTGGAAGAGGTCGACCATTTTCTCCAGGCATACCCAATACTTTCTTGCTTTGTTCCTGCAGGGTACCTGTTTGTTTATCTTTTTGAGGGTTTGTACCTTGTCGTGTAGTTCTAATTCTAAACACAATTGCATCCCCCACCAAAAGCGCAAGTAATTGGTTCAAATAAAGAACTAACCAAACTCTCTTGGTTGGATCTCAAACATGCAGAAATTCATCCGGCTGTCACACTGAAATGTCAATGGCCACAACCCCGTTTCCCAACCCAGGCAATGCTTTAATTTGCATGCTGAAACATATACAACACATACCTTATCTTCAACACCCTCAATCGCTCTCACTAATCAGGTTAGTTAGAGATTGTATATAAACAATGTTAGTTTCCAGTTTGTGATTCGAAGTTCATGATGGACATTTTTTATTTTTGTGAGGAGGTGTTAGTTTCCAGTTTGTGTTGCGGATTTTTTTGAATGGATGAAGCCAGTAGATACATAGATAAGGGTCTTGCTGTGGACAAATAATAATAGATTAAGACCATGTACTAGTACTACTATGACAAATACAAATACCATTGGTTGACCTGGTTGGTGTTAGTTGTATCTACTAGGTATTAGTGCTCCTAAACTTCTTTTTCTCATCTAAGGATTGTGTTATTAGTGAACGCCAACCAGAAGGGCGAGTACATATGATTTTCAGATATGAATATTACCGACAGTAGGGTTAAATTGTAGAGTTTGGGTAATGTTCTTTTCCTGCATACTTTTTGTTACTATGGCGTAAAATTAAATGAGTGGGACTGAGTTTGGGCATAAATATGATATATTGATATGAGACTATCTATATGGCAACTTTTCTTGCTGATTCAGTTACTTTATTGTAAAACTCGATCTTCTTTTCAGGTCCTAGATTTTAATGCATGCAGCCAGCAAATGTAGAGAGATGTATACATCGGTGTTTGTAATTGATAGGTAGAACTTTGTGGTAGTAGTTTGTAATGGTTTTTACCTTGATCGTATTGGTGGAAATAAAGCTCTCTTTTTCATCATTTTATTTTTTGGATTTTATGGTTCACAAATTTACTGACCTACGGCTACAGGTAAATCAACGTTCCATAATAGATTAATAGTCATCACCATGTGTTCAGTTTTGTATGTTCCTTTCAATTACAGATATACACCCTGAATATTGTGCTTTCTATGTAAGAGTCATTAGCTCTGGATTTGGTCTTTCAATTGGTAAGTTCGCCCCTCTATATTTATATACTGGGTTCGAATGCTTTTGTAAGGTAAATGGAACTCTCCTCTTTGTTTACATTAGCGACTCCTGGCAAGCCTACATTTCAATTGTTAATTGATTTTAGAAGTTGGTTCATTGTTTCCAAATATAAATCAAGGTTAATTAGCTGGATCTGTATAATTGGTTGTAAAAGTTAATATTTTTACAGCAACATTTGTTATTGACCCCCGATCTCTCTTCCTCATTATGTTTGAGATCTGTTCAGTTCTTTGGCTCATCTCAAAGGTTTTTTTTTTTTTTTTTTTTTGAAAGTTTCTAGTTTCACATTTTGTCTACAACTATCAATTGTGTTGGATTTGTATTCTACGGCATGGTTCATTTATATACCTTCTCTCTATACTCAATTTCTACCTATCAAATTATTAAACTCTATAGTTCATACATGAATATGCTTTTCCTTTTTATCTTGGGTAAATACAATATAATAACCACATGGATATTTATTAATTTAGGGGGTATTCTCGGCATTTGACCCCCTTCGCAGCGCACCCAAGATGCCGTCATTTCTCTCTTAACTATGACCTTGTCCGCTCCCTCCGTCCTCTCCAAGCGGTAGGGCACGATTTAGAACGACGAGGCCGACGTCGCTTGCTGCATCGAGGAGGAAGCCTTCGCTGCCTCTAGCGATTCCACTTCCCCGAGGACGAAGGGATAGAAATCCTCTAGCAGTGTTCAAAGGAGATCGTGTGAATGCTCGAAAAGGGGATCTTGAAATGAAAGGTTTTTCCTCGGGGATGGAGGCTCGTTTGAGAGAGAGATTGCCTTTTTATATTGTTTATTTATTTTATCAGAATAATAATTGTATAAAAATATCCATGGGGCAAAGTCAAATGGTTGATTCTTTGGCAAGTCACTCACTAATATCCAACTCAGCTATTTAACTGCCATGTCAGAGTCAACTAACTGTTGATCGGACGGAAAGTTAACGGTTTGCTATTAAATTGTTTTCGAAAAGGTTTGGCTATTATTTTGTTTAAAATGAAAGGTTTGACTATTATATTATATTTACCCTTTTATCTTCAACACAGGTCATGCTTTGGAATTCAAAAAAGTCAATAGAAATAGAATCATTTGTGCTCGTGTTATATGTTGGTTTCTGGAAGATTGTGGTCATGTTATATGTTGGTTTCTGGAAGAAAGTTATTTTAGATGATATATGCTCTTTTTTTATTATACTCTTTATATATGATTGAACTGTACTTACCCTCTGTGGGTTCCTAAATGGTCAGAATTATGAAGATGATGATGAAACAAAGAGAAATTGGTTGTGATACTAGAGCAAAGAACACAAGGAGCCTCCACCATTGATAGAATTTTTCAAATTAAGTGTCAACTATAATATTTCGATGCATATGCTACCTTTATTTTTCCAGTTAATGGTTGTGCCATGAATGTTGATGCTTGAGATTATTGAGAGCTCGCTTCATAGATTCATACTCGACTATAGGAAGAAGAGGAACATCTGGGAGGATTTGTAATTGAAGGGCAAAGCCAATTGGTTGCATCATTATAGTAAGAGTTACCGAAGAAAAGAAGGGGAATAGGAAAATTTGAAGATTCATGGTTTCTGTTTGGTATGAAACCACCACAAATGATTTAAGTAATGATTCATATTCAAACGCTTCGAATTGGAAGCCTTTATCTCCAAACATCGTATTAAATTGCAGTTCCTCCCTTGAGCAGTAAGACGATTTTGTCCTCACTAGATTGCAGGAGCTGGGTTAGAAGACGAGCAGGGAAGCACCATATTTTATGGTGGTTCTGTCTATTAGCATTGCAAGAAGTTGACATATGTGTTGTCGTTGAAGGAAGTGGTTGCATGAGTAGTTGCGGTTAGGGATGGAAATCGATAGGGTTGGGGCGGGTTTTGCCAAACCCAAAGCCATGGGTTTATCCGTAAAAAAAATCTGCACCGGGTTTGAAAAACTCAACCTCAACCCAACCCGTTGGGTATCCGCGGGTTCATTAGTACCCGTGAATTTTTGTGGTAAAATATTTACAATAACAAGTTTCTTTCAAAATAAAAGTCTAACATCAATTTTCTCATAGAAATTGTTCATACAAAAAACATCAATCTAGAGCATACAAACAAACGACAAATTATCAATACAAATTGTTCAAAATTAAAGATACATCTATAAACAACATGATTAATTGAAAGTTCCTTCCTCCTTGTCAACTAAATTTCTTCACTCTCCACTTCATAATATCAACTTCATTGTACATAATTAGAAAGAACAAATTAGACATGTCCCCACAAACATAAAGAAGATTAGTTGTTTAAGAAATATATATTGCTTAGAATATTAAATAACCCAGAAAAATTAATTATATGGGCGTGTGCGGGTACCCATGGTGCGAGTTTATCTAAACCAAAACCCAACCCGGTGAACAGTGTACTGGGTTTTAAACCCAAACCCGTCCAAAACGTCTTGACGGGTTTTACCCGTGTTGACCGGGTTGGGTCCAGTAGGGTACTCGTGGGTTCGGGTTTTGTTGTCATCCCGAGTTGCGTTGGTGCCTTCTTGCTAAAGATTCAATGCTGTGTGTGGAGACTGTAAAGGGGACATAGATTTAATGAAAGCCATTGGTTGAATTGATTAGAAGGGTGAAGTGAGTAGACTGCGATCCAGTCATCCAGAGGTCAAATCTGATTGCATCGTCAGTGTTAAAGATGATAAGAAAGACGGGAACGATGGTTATGGAGGTCCTGGAGGAGAGGGTTGAGGATGAAGTGTTTAGAAAAAAATAATTAATCATAGTAAGTTAGTTTCTAAAAAAAGGATTACTAGCTACTTCGTAATATAACAATCAATAAGTAACGCAAATATTACTATCAAATTATAAATAAACTAATTAAAAGAAGGTAAAATAATTGAAAATATAAATGCATTGATTAATATAAACAATAAAATATTATGTAAATATTAATATGGATGACCACTACATTAGATGCACTATTGGGTGTCACATGTAACCACTCAACCCATTCAAATTCCACATTCATTCTCACATTCATGTATATTAATGGTAAGAAGGTAGGGGTTATATGATATGTGCCTATAAATAAAGGATCTTTTTGTACTAAGGAACACATGAATAAGAAAGCTTTATTCCCCCTCTCTTCTAGTGTCTCTACTATTACTCTTGCGTCTATTGCTCTTCCTTGCTATTTCATAACACGTTATCAGCACGAAGCTCTGCCAAAGTCATGGTTGGTCATTGTCTCTCTACATAATCAAATATAATTGGGTAAGATCACAACACGATTAAGGTATGCAAATTTTCATGTCGTTTCTTGCCAGTATGTTTATCTATCTCATTGTCTTTGAGAGATTATTTGATCTTGTTATTTGTTCATATTATTTTATGAACTTATTTTATATATTTCAATCTTGTAACATAGAGTTGTGCTTTGACATTATCAGATAATGAAAATTGCTCCTATAGTAGCAAAATCAATATGGGTTGACTTATCGATTGCTACATTGAACATATAGAGAAATGAAAGTCTAAAGATCTCATTTCCCCCCGAAGTGGAAAAATGAAGAAAAATGTGTCAAATGAAAGAAGTGTATCTAGTAACAAAAAATGTCAGGAATATGAGTTACCATTGTGGTGAAAAAAATCATTGATCTTGTACCCGATGTATAAAAAACAGTTTTATTGGTCCAAGAATCATTGGAAGGAAAATGAAAATTTATATGTGCTCCTGCAGTAGCAATATTATCATAGATGTTTTATAAAGTGTAAGCTAATTTCTTGTTTGTTAATGATGAAAAGTGTATTGGACTTGTGATGAGAAATATTATACAATTTGATCCAAAGGGTGTTGTTTCATTCCAGGAAGTGAATGAAAACAAACCATTCTTAAAAGTGAACGGATCGAGACACACCATTATATAAATAGAATTTGGTGTTTGGATAACGACAATCATGAAATGTATCTTTTCACTAGAAGTGAAAGATAGAATAATTATAAATGAGGATGACAATTCATGTAGCAAAAGTCATGATCATATACCGTAACCTTCATATGTCAGAATGTGTTATGAAACACATATATTATTATTATTATTATTATTATTATTATTACTATTACTATTATTATTATTATGTCTACTTTCGTATAGAATGAATATTCGCGAATGTCAATACTGGTATTATATCATATAGTATGAAAGTAAGCAAAAGCTCCGTAAGAGATTGTGTTTTGTTACTTGAAGTAACTAAACAATATATTGGTGATACCAATAGTATGAAAATATTCTTATCACTATGTATATGCGCTTACAATAATTCACCAAATCAGTATATGCCTAATGGCCAAAATGTAGTACAAGAGTATGTGAGTGCTCCAGAAGAGCTAATGTTTTGAGCCGTGAAGGAACTAAACTGTCAGTTGAAAATGCATTACCGAATTATGAAGCGAAACGAATATCATAATTGATATTGCATCAGCTTTGTGTTCTAAGAGAACATATACTTAACTGGAGAAATTTGTACTACATGTATATTAGTACATATGAAAGTGTAAACTAGAAGTTTACAAGATCGGATAAGTTTTGTTTTGGCATGTCCGGTCATACCATCCCGGATACAGATGCGAAAAATGATTGAGATATTGTATGGAAATTAAGTGAGAGTTTAGAGAATTCATCAATCAAAGGATTGATTATGTGATACATGCTCTCGAGGAGAATATACTCACTTGTGAAAGTAATTGAATCTATTGAGATTTTATAAAAGTGTATGCAGAAAAATATACTCACCGTGAAAATCATATATGAATTTTATGATTTTGATTGATGCATCAACTATATGGTCACATATTTATGTTATCTAACTGCAATCTGATGTTTGCGAGATTAGTTGTCGAATGATGGATATCACTTCTCTTATGAGAGCAAGCTAAGCTTATCGATCTCTTGTCGAGGCATGATAGTTAGCATATGATATCATTAATTTGCATGAAGCCAACAAGTTATCATAAGTTTCCCCGTTCATACAAATGGTTTTGGTCAGGGACCAAATATTTCTAATGCTAGAAATTTTGGGTGTGCAGAATACATCCCAATTGCTCCATCACAACACGTTATGAGTTCCAAAGAACTTATGTTGGGGATGGTGTCCATTGCAATGAGAGATTTGTTCATGACTCTTTTTGCTAATATCATCATTTTGATGAATTACTTTCCGAACGTTAAGGGGGAGAAAAGTAAACAATTGGGCATAGATGTGAGTTGGAATCATCATTATCTCATTTTGATCCTCAAACGAAGAAACATGAACCCGAAGTTCATATGGTGATTCATGAAGGAAAAAAAACGTATCGATTGCCAAACGTCTTTTACTCACTAAAAGGAGTGATTATGTCTCATGCCCAATTGTGAATGCTCTAATACAAATTAATGTCCATATTGGACAATATAATGAGTCTAGACGAGCGCATGAAGCATGGTAGACCAATCGGTTCCAAGGATAAAAATCCTCTTGAAAGAAAAGAGTTATAAATTAAGATGGTCAACTCGAGGATAAAATAGCTCTAGAATAGTCAAGTCATATAATTGAGATCATAGTTCCAGAAGAATAGTAGGTACCTGGAAGTTTTAAAATGAAGAGATCTCAATTAATTGGCTTGTATGAAAAAAGTTGGAACCGAAGTGTATTTATTGTCGACAATGGTTTTGATTATGCTGCAGCACAGAGCGTGATAGATACAAAGAGGATCAAAATTAAAAGTCTATTGATGCGTACAAAGGAATATATATTGGCCAATATAAAAGAAAGCATTAGACTTACTTGATAAAAGTTTGGGACCAGAAGTCCTTACACCTGAAGATGTAAAACTAACGGGATACAAATAGGTTTTATTCAAACACGTAAGGAAATGTGTGAAATTGTGAGGGATATAACAAAATTTCTCATAAGAGGTTTCTTGTAGAAACCTAACATTACTTATGAGAGGACATACTCTCTTGTGGTGGATGCAACTATATTGTGAAATTTAATAGTTTGGCAGTTCAAGAAGAATGAATTTTGCATATGGTAGACATTGTGATATCCTATTTATATGGATGCCTTTTGATAATGATATTTATACGAAACTCCCTGAAGGATTAGTTTGGCGGAAGCAAACATGTTACGTTCTTGATAACATTTATCGATCAAATGACCAATCCATAGAATGGATTGAGAAAAGATGGATGAATATGGCATATTCATTTAGTGCATTAGAGCATTTGCATTTGGCATGTATGATGGTATTGACATAGGCTTATGCGTGTGACATGTATGATTTTTTATTTATAAGAGTAATTTGGTTAATTGATGTTGTGTGATTTTGCTTATGACCTTGTGGTATGAAATAATCGCTTGCATACAATTGTGTTACCTAAGTTTTATATTTATTTAGAAGAAAATAGTTGAGACATTATTTTATAATGATCTCATATATTTTAGTTGATATGAACTCCACAAGAACTTCATAAAGATGGTTTGCTTAAAGAAAGAAAATTGAACTCTAGAAGAGTTTCATACAACATGGATTGCTTAAAGAAAGAAAATTGAACACGAAGGATTTAAGAAGATCATTTTTGGATCAGGATGAGAATGTCGGAAAAATGAAAGAACAATTTTGTATGGAAAAAAATTGCATGCGTTCAACAACCTAATGATCATAAGGTCACTAGAAGTGAACAAATATCAATTTAGGCCTTGAGATAGAAGTGAATTATTAGGTTCTGAAGTACCGTATGTCAATGTCGTTAGAGCGAAAATGTATCTTGCTATACTTCATTGAGTTATACTTTATTACCTATTGGGATGAAGATCATAGATGAGTAGTTTGTTTACTTATGGTCGTACAAGTATCTCATGGAGATTACAAAGAAATCACAATAGCAACATCATCCGATCATGCACAATGGTCAACAATTCATGAGACTTGTTATGAATTGTTTGATTAAGATTTGTGATTTAACACGTCTAAATGACTTGTGGTTGTGGATTATCTTCATAGAAAATTATCCTGAAGATCATGTATGAAGAAAATGGTCCTAATGGATCATGCATAGAGCGACAATCTAGAAGATTTGTTCACTAAGAAGTTTCTATGACAATATTTGAAAGATTTGTTCACAACACTATACTTTGATGTTGTCATGAGGGGAAACATATACGCACTGCAATTTTTTTTCCTTAACCATGGTTTTTCCCACTGGGTTTTCCTAGTAAGGTTTTTAACGAGGCAGATTCAGATAGCATATTATGATGATTATGCATTCTTTTTCCTTCACTAGGATTTTATCCCATAGGGATTTTATGTAATGTGTGCCTATAAATAGATGATCTTTTTGTACTAAGGAACACATGAATAAGAAAGCTTTATTCTCTCTTTTTTCTTGTGTCTCTACTCTTATTCTTGTAAATATTGCTCTTTCTTTCTTGATATTTCTGTTTCATAATACGCTGTCTGAATCTGCCTCGTTAAAAGCCTTACTAGGAAAATCCAGTGGGAAAAATCATGATTAAGAAAAAAAAAGTGTAGTGTGTATATGTTTCTTAATATTTCTTGTGGATATAAAAGTGTATTTTGGCTGACATAAATGTAAACTAAAATAAAATTAATCCGACCATTGTAAAAGCTAGTTACTTTTATATTATTGTTGGGAGTTCTGTCCGTTCGGTGCGTAGGAAAAGAGAGGATTTTATTGGCAAGGGAAGAAAAGAAACACAGAAGATTGTCCTTTCGGGTTTTCGTGAAATTTTCTTCTTTGCCAAAGTTCGTTCGTATGAGTTTCTAATCTATCTCCATCTAGGGTTATTTAACTCCACTCTTGTTCGCTTCCTTTTAGGTTTTTGCCTTTCTCCGATTAGCCATTCTGGGTTGCGTTTAGTTTTTTCTCTGAACTCCTCTTCTTCCTCCTCGAAGTCGCCCAATTTTGGCTGCCTGCCTGCCTGCCCTCGTCTGGATTTCTAATTCGTCTCGTCTGGGTCGCTGCTTTCTACTCTATTTCTTCCAGTTTTGTTTGGGGTATGGATTCCAGTTACTTCGTTTAGATGCGGGAAATTTTGCACTCTCGTTTTTTTGTTACTTTCTGGAGAAATTTTTGATGTTGGATCTAATGCTTCAAATCCAATTTTAGGGTTTTGTTGTTGAAAAAGGTTGTGGTGTAGCCAGGTTCGGTTTTGTTAGGTATTTGTGCAGTCAGCTTGGTTGTTTGAGGGGGAGGTGGGGTTTCTGCTGCTCCTTGGTTTTGCTGTGTTTTGAGGGGTCTTGGCATGTATGCATGATGTTTCATGCTCAAGGTCCTTCAAGGAATCATTGCAGTCTCCTTGCGGTTCACTGTGGCACAACCTTTGATATCAACCACAATCACTCTTCGTCTCCCTCGGACGATTATTATGAACCCAGATACCCTATTCCACAGCTTGCATCTTCAGGGCGTCTCGAGGTAATAACTTGTGCGCATTATGTGACTTTACTTCGCTTATGATGTTGGCTGGTTGCCATGTCATGGTTTCTGTAAGATGAATAGTGTAAACAAGAGTTCATTTCTGTTTGTGATTTGTTTTGAATGCAGGTTCAGGTACTGACTAACCCAACTACAGATAGCTTCAGGCAGGTGCTTCAGTCCTTGGAGCCCAACATTGTGTATCTGCAAGGGGAGCGAACCGACTATAGTGAAGAAGTTGGATCACTGAGATGGGGAGATGTTGGCTTGTCCTATCCAGAAGCCTTATGCGACCTCTTTAGTTCAACATTGCCTGACACTGTATGTTCCTCTGAAAAACCTCTGTTTTGCTCTTTACTATTTTTGGTCTATGGAGCTCTGCTTCAGTCTTTTCTAGTTACAGAGCCCTGTACATGAAGAAAAAGAAAAAAGAGAAAAAAAAAATAATGCCCTTAGAAATTCGGGTTTGCTCATTGACTGAAACAAGTGTATCTATGTGTGGTAAATTGTTGTTTTGTGATTAATTCTTGTCTATATAGTTGTCTCATGTACAGCTAAAACCTTTCGTCTGGTCTTGTTAAAAGGGTATCACTTTCTTTAGCTACTTAGGTTTATGATTTGATTTGTACCATATTAGGTCTAGTGTATTTTATTTTCAGCGGCATACTGGATTGTTCTACTGACTGCGCTGTGGTATGCTCCCAGTATCAGCTTTAACTGTAATTTTCTTTCAATTGTCAAGCTCCCAAGCAACAGAATCCGTAGTGTGGTTGTTGCCGTCAGTTATGAAGCCGTGGAGTTCTAGCTCTTAACTAACTTATCTATACTGTTTCTGTATTTGTCTTAAATTGTTGATAATGTTTACAGCTTTCTTGTTATGCTATACACTGTACGTGATATTGTATGATATGGTCATGCATGTAGGAGTGCTGGATATCATTTAACTGCTAGTTTCTCATTTTATAAACACAGGTGTATTTGGAGACTCCAAATGGGGAAAAGTTAGCTGAGGCACTTTATTCTAAGGTACATTCTGACAAGTTTTGTTATTCTTCAATTTTAAAGTTGTATGGGTATCTAGTCCTAGTGAACTGCCCTTTTAGGCATTGCACATTGTTGCTTGGCCTAACCTCTGTGCATGGCTCTTGTTGGCCGGATTTATTTTTCTGTAACAGGGGGTTCCATATGTCATATATTGGACGAGTACATTCTCGTATTATGCCGCTTTACACTTCCGTCAAGCGTTGTTCTCTGTGATACAAAGGTATTGTGATGTACTCGACATAAATCATTGATTCCCAAAGCTATATACTTCAGCATAGATGGTGAATGATATGTGCCCAAGGTTTTCAGAAGTACTATCCAGAAGGACTTCCCTAGTTATTGTTATGTGGCTCAAATATTACATCTATGTTGTACTAGGTGATTTTATTTTTTCATCCCCACCAGAAATGCTTTCTCTCTTAACTGTTTGCTTTATTATGGTGCCAACTATTTTATGGTGTAAAATCTAAACAGTCTTCTCGGTTTTTCTCTCGGTCTTTGCAGTTCTTGTAGTCACACATGTGATGCATTCCAATTAGCTCATGCGTCATTCAGGCTTTACTGTTCACAAGACAGTAATGGTATCCCTTCCAATAACCAGAAATCTTGCAGTAAATCCGGACCATGCCTGCTTGGGGAGCCTCCAAAGATTGATATTACCCCAGCTGAGACTGATGCGGCTGATGAGGAAGGCTCCCCTGAAAATCTTCCTGCCATAAAAATATATGATGATGATGTGAACTTACGTTTTCTTGTTTGTGGTTTACCCTGCACATTGGTATTCTTGCTCTTCATTTCACACACTCTTGTTTATTGAGCAAGTAGTGTTTTCTATCAACAATATTGACATCTTTTTGGATGTGTTTTCTGTTGTCAGGATGCACGTTTATTGGGATCTTTGGAGGATGGGCTCAATGCATTGTTGAACATTGAGGTTAGTAACTTTTAGGTATTCTGGTAAAACCACACATATTTTAATAGGTGATCTCTTATTACAGTTATAAATCAGACCAACCTTTTTCTGTCGCCATCTGTATCCCGATTTTCTTCTGTTCATTTCCAACTGCATTCCTCTTATGTTAGTAAGGATTCTTCTCTCCAACTAGAAGGTATCTAGCTTGTTTAGACTCGCATTTCACAATCTAGTATCTGTGTTATATTTTTCATCCCTTAGTTTTTATCTACTCTTATTTCTATGTAAGCTAACTCATATATGGAATTTCAGTGAATCACTTGTTTCCTTCATTGAATGCTTCTTTGCAGATTCGCGGGAGTAAGCTTCACAATAGGACTAGGTATTGCAGAATTGGTTTTGCTAATGGGGTTTTGACATTTTTCTTTGTTTATCAGCTAACAACTTGAAACTTGTGTCCTACAGTGCTCCCCCACCTCCACTCCAGGCGGGGACGTTTTCTCGTGGTGTAGTAACCATGCGGTGTGATCTGTCAACATGTAGTTCTTCTCATATATCGCTTTTAGTCTCTGGTAGTGCACAGACTTGTTTCAATGATCAGGTAAGAGCAAATTCTTTCCCTTATGAGTTAGTGGTTTGATGAATGATTCAATGTCTTACCATTAACTGATTCTCTCAATTGGTCCCATCTCTCTTTCTGGTTGTTTTTCAGCTTTTAGAAAATCATGTTAAACAAGAAATTATCGAGAATAGTCAGCTAGTCCATGCCTTGCCTACACCCGACGAAAGCAAAGGACCTACGTCTGAGCCAAGGAAATCTGCTTCTATTGCATGTGGGGCAAGTGTATTTGAAGTTTGCATGAATGTTCCTATGTGGGCTTCACAGGTTCGTGTTGCAGACACTGTTGCTTGGGCTTTTGTTAAATATCAAGAGGTTGATGATGGTTGTATGGAAGGCCTTAATTTTCATGCTGGTTTGGTAGAAAAACCTAGATTATAGATCATTGAAATTCTGAAACAATGCCGAATTGCACTGTTGCACATGGGTCTTCCAGTCTTCCATTATACTATCAGTTGTACTTGATGGAGGCCGGAAGCTTTAAACAATGATGCATGTGTACATAACTAACAAAGATCATCGTGCAACTGTAGTTACTGATTAGAGGGCTGCAAGCCTCTAATTATGTGTTCCTGTGTTTGCCTTGGGAAATACTAGATGGTACACTGAGATCATCAATTGACTTGTACATAAGTAACATAGAACCTCTTGCAACTGTAGTTACTAATCAGAGGGCTTGTGAACTTTTGTTTTTGGTTCCTGTGTATGCTTTATGAAATCCTAGACCGTATCTTGAGATTCTGAATACCCCTGTAAATCATCGTACTTACTGCCACTTGGGCAATTGCAGGTTTTGCGCCAGCTTGCTCCTGATGAATCTTACCGCAGCTTAGTTATGCTTGGAATAGCTAGCATTCAAGGGTTGTCTGTTGCTTCTTTTGAAAAGGGTGATGCAGAGCGCCTGCTTTTCTTTTGCACGAAGCAGGGGAAAGAGCTTCATATTCCAAACAACCCTGTTTTGACTAGGCCTCCTAGCTGGTTGATACCTCCTGCACCCAGTCGAAAAAGAACCGAGCTATGCCGAGAATCTAAATCCTTTTCTGGTGTAAAAGGCGAAAAGAATTTTAAAGAGAAGCTGAATATTGCAGCAATGAGGCCCATTCCTCACACACGTCGTCATAAGATGCTCCCTTTCTCTGCGTTTTCTGTGGCTGAACGGTTTGATGGAGACCAAGTGAAAGCCAACCTACTACCGGTTGCTCCTCCAAAGCATAGTTCTGGTGGGGCCACTGCTCCTGTTAATGCACACCGGAAATCAACAAGTTCTTATCAGGCTCAGCAGATTATCTCGCTAAACCCACTACCTCTGAAGAAACATGGCTGTGGCAGAGCCCCAATACAAGCTTGCTCGGAGGTATGCAATTTTCATGTGTCAACAAGTCTGTATTGGTCTTTTTTCATAAACAAATTATAAATTAAAAAAAAAAGTCTCTGTTGGTCTTTGTAGTATTATGCACCATGATATGCGTGTGTATGTGTGTGTGTGGATGCAGCTGACTGTATGTAGGGATTCAGGCCATGACGTAATAAGCTATTGATACATTTTATTATTTCTCAGGAAGAGTTTTTGAGGGATGTGATGCAGTTCTTGATTCTTCGTGGACATACTCGTCTTGTCCCTCAAGGTGGTCTTCCAGAGTTCCCTGATGCCATTCTCAATGCTAAGCGTCTTGACCTTTTCAACTTGTATCGAGAGGTTAGCCTGATATATATTTATTTATGGCATTTCGTCTTCCTCGTCTTTACCAAGTACTGAAAAAAGTTAGTTGAGCAGTACTAACAAAGGTAGGATGAGATTTCTCAGGTTGTTTCGAGAGGTGGGTTTCATGTTGGAAATGGCATTAACTGGAAGGGACAGGTCTTCTCAAAGATGCGAAATCATACACTCACCAACCGGATGACAGTATGCTCCAAATTTCTGTTTCTTCTAGTTTCCATTTTGGTGTATTCTAATGTCTATAATTGGCATGAATTTTGAATTTAACTTTAAACAGTGGATTGATTTTGTCTTTTTTGTTTTTACGGTCAATTGCCGATTATACTTGGGACATAAATCTTGGCTGCTTACCAGCTGCAATCAACTGTAGCCAAAAACTACCTCTGGAAAACAATTCCCCTTCTAATTTCTGGGAGTCATCCTCTCATTTGCTATGTCTTCCCTTCTTCCTACCGTCTATCAAATGATCTTCTGTTATGTGATGTAGTTTGAGACTCCAAAGCAATGCCTGTGGTTGATATAGTTTGTCGCAGAGGCTTGGTCACCGGTTCTCTGATGTGTAGTTGTGTGAATTGCTTCTCATCATATATCGGTGGATAAAATTTCCGTCGTTTTGTTTTCCAGGGTGTTGGGAACACACTCAAGAGACATTATGAAACCTACCTTCTAGAATATGAATTGGCTCACGATGACGTGGACGGAGAATGCTGCTTGTTGTGTCACAGGTGTGTGTTTCTTCTTTTCTTTTTTCAACTTTCTGCTTCTCTCTCTCTCTCGCTGTCTCGCTTGCCCTTTTACTGATGTGCGAGTCATGGATGATGTAACAGTAGCGCAGCCGGAGATTGGGTGAATTGTGGTATATGCGGGGAGTGGGCTCACTTTGGCTGTGACAGGCGGCAGGGCCTCGGCGCCTTCAAGGTATTGGTTCGTGATTTGGCAACTGTTTGCTGCTGTCAGTTGTATGTATGATAAAGATTTGATTGTATTTGGTGAATTGAACTGCAGGACTATGCTAAAACAGATGGACTTGAGTACATTTGTCCCCATTGCAGCGTATCGAATTTCAAAAAGAAGTCGCAGAAAACGGGCAATGGGTACTGAAGAAGAGCACAGCATAGCATTGCGAAATTTGTCCGGGTGGTATTTCGTTACCCCTTTTTTTTGCCTCTACATAGATGTGGAAGAGAAGTTAGGAATGTAATTATTGTATTGTAACCCCCCCAACCCAACACCACCATTGTTGTTTCAATATAGGATTAAGCAATTGAGAAGAAAGCTAACCCGCAAAAGGAAGAGAAATATTCCTCCCCCCATATCTCTGTTATGTAGCATGGGAGAAATGAATATTGAGAGTATCTTGTAGATTATAATATCGTGCTTTTGTTTCTCCTGAGATTATTAGTTGCTCGTGCGTAAGGGAATTAGAAGTGTTTTTGGTGTCTTTGGTGGCGAGCGAGCCTGCTTTTATTCAGAGTAGAAAGTGGCCAGTTAGAGAAATACGGTCATGAGCTCGATCCAATTGGGGGATTTAACCACCATATAAGAATCTATCGATCTGATGTTAATGCGAACAGTTTGAAAGCTCGTAACAAATAAACCGGAGGATCGATTCTAGTCTTACAAATCAAATAAGCAAATTTTAGATAACTAAAGTGATGCCTCTACGAGACTACGATTGGCCTACCCGTAACAAAATGTAATTCACCATATTAATACATGATATCTTTAGTTATACAAAGTTAAAAATTTCTTAGTTTAGTTTTTGTCAGTAAATAATTTTATTTATGATCACTTATATGATCATTTAAGGTTTTTCATTTTCATAAAATAATAGATTTCTCTACTTGTCAAAAATAGTTATATGATTATTTAGTAGGAATCATTTATAATTAATGTTTAGATACTTTACGCATATGTGTTTAAGAATAATGATAATATATATTTTTGAGTGTGTTCTTTAGGGTGTTATTATGCATATCATACCTATAAAATTCATGCTTATGAGACGCACATGTTCGTTAATAACTTTTGATGATTTAATAACACGATTAAAATGTGAATCACACACTATACTGGTTCATACTCTGGTTTTGTTTTGACAATCTCTTTTTGTAATGTGTATGGGGCATGTATAGAGCGGGTCGGGAGTAGACTCCCATGCCCCGCCCCACGCTACTGCGGGTCAGGTAATACCCGCCACATCGCGAGTCAAGTCGGATAATACCCGCAGGGCGATTTCAAATTGCCATCACTATCCGATAATACCCGTGGGGTGGGTTCAAATTGTTATCACTAACTATCATATTGAGTTCTTGTAATCAGTCATTGACTCAAATCACAAATTTATTTCTAATTGAAACTAAACTCAATTTAGGTGTATTAAAATATATAATTTATTTTTTGTTAAATGAAATCAGAATGTTAATGGAAAATAACGTGAATCTCATATATTTCTAGACTCTAGTCATATTCCCATTTTGGTACTTACTTTTCTTTATTTTCAGTGCATATTCAATCTAATCCAAACCAGAGAGTTGACCGATTCGAAAAAAAAAAAAATCATGACGTTGCTTCAACATTTCCAGCTAATTATCTTCAAATTGAAGTAGCCCGTGCCAAATTCTATATCTTACCTTTTTCCTTTCAATTCAAGCATATCTCCAAAAATTATAAATACGGTAAATAAATCCAAGCCTTTAATTAACATACTTAATAATTATCCTATAAAATCTTAACCTCTAAATTTACTAACCTCGTGAAACATGAAGATGAAGGGAGTTTACATTTCACTCTTTGTTTTTCTGGTCTCCTTCCAGGCTTTCAACTTGGCAAGTAAGTGCACATTTTCCAGCTTCTGCTCATTTTGTTTTTTTCTTTTTCTTCCGAAAGCTGCAAATCATAATTCTTTTTATTATGACGAGGAACCCTTACTCGCGGACGCCACATTGATGGCGTCCGCATCCAGGTTAAACCTCGAGCCGCCGAACTAATCCGATTTCTGATTGTTATTTGAAAGATGGGCAAGCGAGATTATTTTGGTGCGTACCGAGAGCAGGAGTAGCAGTTGCACAGTTGCAAGCAAATCTAGATTATGCTTGTGGGCAGCCGGACGTTGACTGCGGTCCAATTCAACCAGGAGGGACTTGTTATGAACCCAACACAGTTGCCTCCCACGCAGCTTTCGCCATGAATCTCTATTACCAAATTCATGGTAAAAAATCCGATTGTGATTTTTCTGGCACTGGTACCTTCACAAACACTGATCCTAGTAAGTTCACCATCCACATAAGATATTTTTTATACACACCCTTCGTTTTTCTTCTAATGATTTTTTCGATTTTACGATGTGAGATTCTCTAAATAGTTTCCGGTTTTGCTATTTACGGATCACTAACTTGTAATCGTTGTGACACTGAAATTTCAGGTTATGGTGATTGCAAGTACGTTAAGTCAATTGGAGGGAAACTATGATGTATCCAAGCTGCTTGTTGATATTGAACTTTCCATCTTTCCCCTTGGTTATAGAGTACAAGTTCTGTTGTTACTTCTTCACAAGTGATTTGAGATTTTGAAAAGACAATAATATTGTAGCTTCAGAAATAATTTATGAACTTATATATAGATGGATGGTAACTTAATTTGGTGAGAGGAGGTTTCATATATACGCGTCTTAATTCTTGGGTTATCTGGATGTTGGATTATTACGCGACACAAAATATTCGACCCAGATCAAAAATTAATGTTGTTGTGGTTAATGTTATAGCTAGTTAGGATGACTGGAAACTACAATCAAAAAAGGGTCGAAGAAGGAAAATCCATGGCAGGTTTTGGGGCAAGACGAGGTTGAAAAGCAAGAGGGCAAGGCGAGGCTGGATATTGAGGTACCCGATCTGTTCTTAACCCATTGCCATCCCTACAATCCGATCGACGCGACTAAAGAACCATTACAGAACGTGTAACAGGAACCCTACAAGACAATTAGACAGATCCATTTATATCTACCAGCAAACGGCAACCAATTGTAAGCATTAGGGTCTAAATACAGAACGGCCAGCCACAAGCACACAACCCAATCAAACTACAATCACCGAAACCCGGCAGAGAACGCCATCCCCTTCACACGAATCCTGCAAAGCCATTCTTGCGTCGGAAGCACATTGGGAGAAGAGTAGACATAAAAAAAAACATCTGTCCAGATATGGGAGGTCACCCCCAAGGAATGAATCAGGGACTCGAGTAGCAGCTCAATCTTAAGTAACTTCAGGGCTCGCCCTAACAATATTAAGAACGCCTCTTGCAGTCGTCTGTCAACGAGAAAAACATTCATTGGCACAACTCCAGGCAAAAGTATAACTGAAAACCCCAAGGGTTCTCCATAAGTTGCAGCATCTGTTGGGATGTTTACCTCGAAAAATAAATTGAAGTTAAGACGCATGAGAAACCGTCTGAGATATGGGGCTCGTTGACTCCCTGCTATTCTGCTACTGCGCAATATGGTGTACAGGGCATTTGATTTCTTGTTGAATTCCTGCAGCGTTATTGATAACTGTTAGGTATGGCTCCTCTAAAACAATGGAAAGTTAACCAGGGGAAGGGAGTACTAATATGAAAGTACGCCAGCAAAAGAGGGTAATATAATTAGAATTTAGAAGTGACAAATTCAAAATTAAATGCTCGTCTTTTTTCTTTCAATTTCCTTTCACAAGGAAAAGAAAAGGGTTCTGCCACTGTACTGCCTAGGAGAGTGAAATCTATGCCACCCCTTGCCTCGTCGAAATGAACTATTAATGGTGCATTACCTCAGTTATACGTTCCAGTTCACTGGTATTTGGATTGCTCTCTTGCTTCTCCAGGCTCCAACAGAATTGCATGCACAGCTTCATTATGCCGTCTAGTATCCTTGATAAAGAGCCAATGTCTACAAATGACTGTGAAATCAAAGCAGATAAATACCTGTATGTATAAGGAAAGAAAAGGTGAGCTATATGATAATTTACAATACACGTAGAAAAGACAAACTCTGCAAAGAACCAAGAACTACAGCCATGCAACTGAAGATTACATACGCTTGATGGAAGCCGACAAGTTCAGTGAAGTCTTGAGAATCTTGAATATGAGCTTGCAAAATATTCCATTGAGATTCTATCACGTCCACCTAACACACAGAAGCATGCAAATTGGATACGGATTAATGGAACCGATAAGCAGGGAGTTACATGCTATAGAACCACAAAAGAAGGATATAGTAGCATAGTGATTTTGGGCTCAAACAGCTAGAAAGTGTCAATTTATCATCCAAAGACCAAATCGTTGCTTTCTCATGTATGCATTCTAGAAGAACACTCATCATAAGTTTTTTCTTTAAAAAAAGTCATTTACTTCCATTGTTTTCCATCTTGTTCATCCTGATCTGTTACTTGTTAGAGCGACCCACGAAAGGCTAACAAAATTAGCCCCAAAAGCAAATAACCAAAGTAGTGAACTTGCAAGAAAGAATCAAGCTTAACTTTCAGTCTTCCCACTTAATTAGCTCTTACATGTCTTTACACGGTAATTCCAATTATAATAATTAAGTGGACTGCATCAGTGATCAGCTCAGTTTTATTATTACATTGACAGCTTTCATGCACATCCTGTAACGTTTTTTATATTATTTTCATGAGAAAAGCTGACAACACAAAAAGGATTACCTACCTGGATATAAAACTGAAGATTCCGAATCAAAAATGCCATATGCTCTCTAACACGCCACAGAGGCCTAACTCGCTGCTGTCGCTGCTGAGACAATGAACCCCCCGCACTGTTGTTGCAACGTCTGGCAAAGCGTTTATGATCTTGATGCATGCCCAAAGCCCATGATTTATCCAGTTCCATCTGTGTTCTCTTGAGCCTCAATAAGTACTGGAAGATCTTAAGGTAACTGGAGTTTACCAGATGAACTATTAATCAGTATATTCAACTTCGCCATTATAAACAACCAGAGATGGAAAGGATAAAAAATTGTATAGCCACAGCAGATTCTTACTCGGACAGTACTTCTTGTGTAAAGAACAACTGCAAAGGCCAATTAACTGCATATTCAAGAGCAATGCCATCCCATCCATCAAGTGAGATCTCAGACGAATTTGTTGGTAACCCAGAGCTTGGGTTTGCACCAATATAGGATTTCGTTGAAGTTCCAAATGAAACCATCCTATAGAGTATGAAAAGAAATTGTTGGTGTATTCAAATCAAGAAAAGACTGAATAGCAAATAACCTGATAGATTAAAATGTACAGATCTGACCGCAAGGATACTCGAGAAAAGTATTTGTCTTCCTCCCCGATTGTTTTCATTGAAGCCTGAAATCCACATACAACCAGACATATAGTTGGATAGTATCATCGAATAGGATGTTGCAAGATGAAATCAACTGCAGAAAACTGTCAGCAGTCAGAAGATTGACCAAGGAAATGTCCAGCTGAACCTACAAGCTGAAATGGAACCATAAGATCAGCTTCAGCAGTTGACTGCCGAGGTGGTAAACGCATCAAATGCCGGCCCTCCTCAAGAAAACACTGGAATACACAAAAGAGGCATCATAAACACTACTTTAGTTGTTTATCCGAACTCAATAAATTTAAAATTAAGTGCAATCTATAAATACAGAAACGGAATTGCCCGCCAACCAAATGAAGATATTCAGATAAAACAATACAATAGAAGCCGAAGTCCTCATTTATCGCAAAAGGAAGAAAGAGAGGCCCAAAAAAGCTAGCCGAGATGCAATGATAAGCATGTTGTCTATGAGATCAATTTCCTGTACATCTCAACAACAATGCAGATTCACTTGCCTACAAAATCCAAGGAGTTTATGCTCGTTCTCTTATTTCAAGAAATATACTTATTTGAAACATTCACAAGGTTCACTGCAAAGCCAAAGATAAAAACCAATTTAGTAACAGCGACTTTTGTTGGCAACACAACCCCAGACCTGAGTGGACAACATTTCTAGTAAATGCAAACTAAAGCTATTTAATTAGTAAACAGGAATATCAAGCAAGAATGAAGCCACACTGTAAAGGGAAAGGGGGCATTATTCATGTCTTAAACTCTAGACTTTTTAATGTCTTATACCTGGAAGAAGTCTCCTTTGGCAAGGAGGAAATAGTCCTTAAGAGCCTTCAGGTGGCCATTCAAGTCCGCACGTACAACCACAAGCTATAGCAAGAAAAACAATACATGTCAAAGGATGTTTTGGCAGATGACAAAAGGACTTGCAACATGCAGCACCTGCCAGAGATGACTAGCCGCTATAGCTCGAATGGATCCAACAGCACTCTCAAACGATCTTTTGTGAAATTCTGAGGAATCCTGCACTAAAAAAACTTTGCTTCACTGCCAGTACTAAGCTACTGCAGTCTGATGCAACAACTGCTAAGACACAAAGGAGGTATGATGATGATAATAATAATTTATGGTATCCAGCATAAGTTCTACTAACGATAATATGACTAAAAATGTAAACCTTTAAGTCCTTGAGCATGAGTTCAATCTTATCAGCCTCAGAGTGCGGAAGCAATTCCTTTCCAATAAGGCTTGTAGTCACAAAGGGGTCCTTCTGAATCGAAAATCGCCCCACAAACCCCTGAACCTTTTGAGCACCCCTTTTCACCTGTTGGTTATCTAATGGATCCTTCAATTGGAACCCAGGACTTGGATTCCGCAGAATGCGAATGGCTTTGCCAGCAAACAGAATTGAATCAGCAACACTGGTAGGAATATAAGAGGGTAGCATATCCTGCAAATGTCATGGAATAAGCATTCCAGTTGAAGCAAAAGTTACCTCACAGCAAGACATATTAATTTGTGGATTGAAAGTAAGCAAAAATGAATACAACTGTGAATTTAAACAAACATTAAACATAGAGACGCCAGAATAAAATTATAAAGGTCAATACTGAAGCCAAGTAAATGAGGTAGGTACCTAGATGACTGAGCAGTTAATGCTTACTGATTTATGTGTATAGGGTACGAGAAAATAGCCAGCAAAAGGATTAGTTGTGTCATTTTCCACAATTGATGCTAATTCTCTGGGAGACTCAAAGTCTTACCCACTAGTCACAAGTATAAATTCTTCATCTACAAGCAGTCTTGATGAAACTAGTGTAGACTTGTGCATAGCTAGCAACATAACTAAGGAGTTTTCCTTTATTTTGGAAGCTGTCTGCCTATCCAAACTTTATACAGGATCAGTGCAACAAACTGATAGAACTTGTAAAAGGTCCAATAATAACAAAAGATTTTAACAAGATCCAATAATAACAGTGATTTATTTTACGGAACCGAGTAAACGAGTAATAGAATGTTATAATGTTGATAGTCAAAGAAACAACGAAGAAAAAAAGAAGCAGCAGGTATTCATACCAGACAAGTATCGAATCCAGAGTGCCAATCAGTTAAAGATGCATCATCTGTTGATAAACGTGCTAGTCTATCTGATATTTCATGATCAGTGACACTGTGATTTTCCTCCTTGTCCAGCCTAAAAAATCAATGTAGAAACATCACAGATTGAAAAAGGAAACGCACAGGAAAACAACCTAACTCGGACGGGGCAGGACATGAAACATTCGATCAACAAATATTGAACCCGAGAAATGCTTTGAGAAAGGGAATTGAAATAGGAAATGTTTATCATTGAAAGTTTACAAAGCTGGTTGTACACACATAACTCGTGTTGCAAAACAGAATATGGATCAGTTGCAAAGTTGAAATTTGTATTTCCATGCTGAGATTTAGAATCAGACTGTATATTCCTAAGAATGACTCTGTGAATACCTTCTGACGAAAAATTCACTGTGGTGGTCTTGAAGGATTCCATAAACCATCCATGAAGCAAGTTGGTTATACATGACTTGATGGCCATGCCAAAGAAGCCTACATTTTCCAATGTTCAATAGAGAAGAAAATTACAACCCTGAAGCTCTTATTGTTAGCTGATCCTACGAGGTCTATATAACTTTATTGAACCAAAATAGGCATCTCAAATACTCAAGCGAGATTGGCAAAGTAAAAACGACAACGAATTACAAAATCAAACCTTTGAACGCAAGTCTGTAATTCAGGAACCCCACAATGACATCGCTTATGTAAGAGGCTAAGTAGATGTCCTCCTCGAAAGTCTTCACGTTCAATCTCTAAAACCAGCTCATATAAAGGTGGCAAAATGACAAAAAACTGCAAAAATGCAAAGATAAAGCGGGAAAGGAAAAACAGCAACAGATTTCCATTAATTTCTTGAACAGAAAAGGTTGGGAGTATAGCAATGCAGGTGAGGTAAGAACCTTGTTGAGCCCTTGCGTGACTGTAGCCAGGATGGGTAGGGTCTCGGACAACAACTTCTGCTCAATGTGAAGAACGGCAGACCGGTAAAGGGAGAGTATTTCCACAATCCCGTTAGCTATGGCTCTTCGGTAAACGCTGGGTTGCCTTTCAGTATCGTTCTTTGAAATCTCAGCGAGTCTCACCAACGGTGACACATACGGAGACCTTATACAGCTCAAGTTTCGAGACTGGGAAGCGAAGCGATCAAGCTCTCTATAATAGAACCCCAATGCGATGATCCTTTCGACAAGATCCCTGTAGAAGAGCGATAACCTTCGATAAATTTTCGTTTTGTTCCCATTTCGTTGTTGGGAATCGTAACTAGGCAAACCCTAGAGAAGCAGCAGTGTTGGCGGGAAAAGTTGGAGTGGGAATTGAGATCGATTGGGCAAAGTAGAGGTACCTATCGGAAGGCTGGAGGAAGGAAAGGTCGGGAGCAAGCTTGAACGAGCGGTTGTCGGAGATGGGAGCGTCCGGCGAGAAATTAACACCGAGAGAAGTCTGCTGCTCTCTTTCATCAACGACGAGATCGCCGGTGTAGCCTAAAAGAGCCAGCAGGAGCTCGTGCAACATTGTGAATGCTCTACGGTGGCTACTCAAAACCGCGAATTGTCGTCGTCGGTCATAACATAGGCGTTCTTTCTCTTAGCGCGGGCAGTGTTTGAAACGGGGAAACTTGTCATCCGGCCTCCGGCGCCTGACTCACCTCACCTACGCTATATTTTGCCGTCTGCATTCTGCAATGTTAAAAAAATAAAAGAACAAATTTGATTGCAAATTACTATTTAGTATTTACGACCCATAATTTTGAAGAAATTACATTTTTGCCTCATTTTTTGAAAATCCAATCACAAATTGCACCATCCACTATGGTGGAAGGGAAAAGAGTGAAATTTTGGGCGGATCCGGTCATTAACGCATAGGTCACTAATCAATAATCATGCATAACTCAATTATCATCCGCCCACGTGAGCATTCCTTCTCGCTCTTGTAAAGACTTTAATTTTTCTCACTTAATCTTTAATTGACGATTTCTCACTTGTTTTAAGTGAGAATTTAAATTTTTTGTACAGTTAGATCATATTAATTGTGCTCTTCCAAATGATATATACTTAGATATATTTTTGTAACAAAAAATTTGAGTCATTTTTTACTAATCTATGTCATATGGTATTGACTGGTATTAAAATAAGAGCATATCATATGGTATAAAGCGTATCATTATGGTATGAACATACAAAGACTGTAGGATGGTTGAATACATGATAATAGGAGTGTCATTTGTGACTTTCAACATTGTGTACCACAAGATACCACCCCGTACCGAGGTGGTATTGTGGTATTTTTTTGTCATGTATTTTGTTCACCCAGAAATTTGTAGATCCAATAGATCATGATGAACTCGTTCCTTCTATGCAAAAAATTTCAAAAACGGCTTAAAAACGAAGAAGATACCATGTGGTATGCAGTTGGTGATGAGAGGCATGATTTTTTTCCTCAAAAAATATTGAAAATTGATCTCATTTTGTGGAGCACAACGAACTCGTTCCATCTGTGCAAAAAAAATAATTGAAATCCGAGTTAAAACGAAGAAGATCTGAGCCGATTAAAAAACAAGGGAAAAAATATCTTTAATTCTCCACCCTTATATTTTGATTTTATTTGCTCATTTAAAAGGAAGGATCCAGATTTAGTTACTGCTGGATGCTTAATCCGGAGCCGAAAATTTGGGTGGGAAAAGAGGATTTGGGAAAGTGTTTGACCACAATGGTTGAAAAGAGAAAAGAGAGTAATTGATTAGTATTTTACTATTTTTTAACAAAATCAATTTAGTGTTGATCTCTCACTTTATTTAGATAATTTATTCATTCTTTTTATATAGATAGTAATAATTAATTAAGAGAAATTTTTTTAATTTGGACATTTTTCATCACTAATTAAATATGACGTGATCAATAACAAAAAAAATATAGTTGTTGGAAATGTGCTCGTTGGAAAATATGACCGTTAAAAAATATGATCGTCGACCAATAACACACAATAATCTCAAATTGAAATAATTAAACCAATAAAAACAAAAAGAAAAGAAAAGAAAAAACATGCCCCCTCCTCCTTTTGTCTTCTAGTGAAGGGAAAATTCTTCCACATTTTCCTTTTTTTTCCTTTCTCTCTACCTATTCTGAGATTTTCCATCATTTTCACCATTTTTCCTTTTTTTTCTCCACCTTGTTGTGGGTGGTCTGGTCTTAGTGATGGCACCTGCCTCGCGGGTATTATCCGACCTGGTCCGTGATGAGGTGGGTTCATCGCGGGTATTACCCGCCTTCCTTTCTTCTCTACCTATTGCAAGATATGCCACCTGAGTTGCTAAATTTGACGTTATTTTGGACCCCAACTCTAATCTTCATTTCTGACTTCCTGCAGTTGGATCTGGCAATTCGTACGGGTGGTCCACTAGGATAGGTTGCTCTGAAAACACTCAAAATACTACCCAAAAGGCATTGAAAATAGTAAAAGTAATCCTAGGACCTACAAAACAAACTTTGAAGCAATTAATAAGCAGTTCCAAACATTATGGCAAAAGATATGAAAACTATGCAATTGCTGCAATTAAATAGGGATCTAAAATATTATAATTGGGTATCATCAAGCAAGAGCAATTACATAAGGGATTTGTGTAACTCCTTATCCTCGATCTAGGTGGAGGGTCTACGATATGTAGGGGGTTTCGAAAGCTCTATTTGTGCCCTCTAAACACAATTCTCAAATGACACTTCACTCGGCGGGGGATTGTACTATATAAGAAACATTATATGGGTGCGAACCGATGCTCAATCAAACCTTTCATATTTCCCCCTATGCATACAGTCACACATTTGGGTACTTTTATCCCACACTTTATTTGTTAATGCAACTTTCTTTATTCCACTAGTCATGCAGAATTTTTCATGTATAAAGATACAGTTCACCTCATTGAAAACTTTTTAAAGCAGTGAGAGTTATTGATATAGTTTAAAGGCTCACGAAAGATAGTGACAAGCATTGTATTCAAATATTTTGAGTCTCATGACGAAGGCACCCTTCATAGCCACTAAACTAGCCACCCTAAATCACGTAGCAACGTAGAGACTAGTCATTCAAAGTAATATGAGCTTGAAATAAAAAAAGGAGATTGTGGCACTATCTGAAAAAATTTCAAAAATTTATGCACATAACACACACAATGAAAATAGAAGGATGAAGAGCAAACTACCGTACCAAATCCCACTTAAAAGTAAACTTTAAAAAGGACAATGTCCTCATTGAATTGAATTATGGACGTGCAGTAATAGGATTGACAATTTTGAAAAATAAACAAAAAATCAAAAAGTTCCCAACAAAATAAAAAAAAACGAGAATAGAATGTAGGGATGGGATTAGGTGCTGATAACTAGCAAAAAACGCTACTAAAAATAACGAAATCATTACGGATTATTATAAAATCAATACAACATCTAAACTAAATCACTACTAATTCAAACTAGTAATAGTTTTTCCCTTGGTTAGGACGGTGCTAACTATTGTACAATTAGCACCGTAGCCGTTCCCTAGAATGTAAACCAAGCAAGTGCCAAACCAACAAAACAAGGTGAAGGCTAGTGCAAAACCAACAAACTAGACAAAAATAAATTGAAAAGAAAATAAACTGGAAGAGATACTTACTCGTCAGTCGTCACCCATTGGGTTGGATTTGCTATTGCAAAAGCCAGTGGATATTTTGCTGATTTTTTTTAATGGGTGCACCCCACTAGTTGGTAGGGGTGTTCAAACGGAGTGGTTACCGAAGTAATTGTTTTAACGGGTAGTATTTGGATAGTTTGGTTTGGATAATTGGTTTGGTTAGGTTGAATTTTTTAGCTTATTTGGTGTGGTTTTAGACACTCATATCCAGTCAAACCAAACTAACCAGTTAAGTAATTAGCCACATATATTATATAATATGGACGCCTAATTTACATAAGAACCATACATTTTGTTGGATGAAAACTTGAAAGAAATGTCTTTTTATGATAGTTGCTAAGAGACTAAGTCAATTCACAAACAAAACAATTAATTAACACTATACCATTAGCATATATTTTTGTTAGGTGAATACTTCAATTGATGGTAAGAAATTGTATTAGTTGCATATATTTATGTTAAGGGTTAACTATAACTATGTGTTGATTGTTATATTTTATTCATTATATAAATTGTGAATTGATATATTAACCGGAAAATTTTCTCACTTAATGATAATGTGATGTTATATTGGTTAACCAATTAACCATACCGATTAAATTTTTAACCAAATCAAAATTTAATCGGGTTGGTTGATTTGGTTAACCAATTAACCAAACCGATTAAACTTTAGCTTAGTTAATTTGGTTGTTATATTAGTTTGGACGGTTTGGTTATGATATTGTTAATAGAATTTAGGCTTATTTGGTTTGGTAATTACCATGGTAACCATTTGAACACCCCTAAATTATTCCTAACCACTTAAACCAAACTAACCAGTTAAGTAATTAGTCATATCTTTGGGTTAAGAGAAATCCGATCCAACCTGTCTCATTGTCATCCCGACTCATAAGTTTGCGAAATCCGATCCAATCTGTCTCATTGCCATCCCAACTCATAATTTTGCGAGAGTAGATTCAGGTCAAGCTCAATTATGACCATGGTTGTCATGCTGGTCGGTACAACCAATACAAATTACCAAACCGACTGAAATGCCCCGGTATGACCGACATAATTGATTTTCGACCTTTAAACAAAATCACGTCGTGTTAGGGAATTTAATTAATATTTTTATTTATATATTAACTTGAAAGTTAATGTTGATATTATTTGTTGGATTCAAGTATGAATATTTAGATGTTTATGTTATTTGTTAGATTAAAGTATAAACTCTTGGACGTTTTCCTTAAAAGTTGTATTTATATGAGAATTTTTCATTTTGTTTGTATTGTTGTATTTTATTTAAATATGGATGTAAAATGTAGAGAGATTATCTTCTAATATGTTATATATATAACTAAATTCATATATTTTTAATGATTTCTCACTCCCCTATATATTTTGCAAAAATCGATATGAACTAGTTTAAATTGGTTGTACTACCGGTCGAATCATACCACTTGCCACACCAGCATAAAGGTGTAAAACAAGAATTGTAAAACCGTACCAAGGGTTATATAAAAACATAAACGATAAAATATTTTTATTTTATGCCAAAATCGTGATATAATTGTGGTTCAATCATTTCATATCATTAAAATCGGCCTACTAGTTTAGGTTGCGATAGGAGGTTTACAGGTTTTATTTTTCAATAAAACGGTTCGACAAGCTTCGTTGTGACATGTGACATAGGCCCAGGAGCGGATTTAAGACACCCCTAAAATTTTAGAAAATAATTATCGAAACCCCGGTAGTAGTATGTGTATGGCGAAAAAATACATATAGCTAGTGAGATTTGATATTAGTGTCAATATTTTCCACTAGGCTACGATCAATTTGTTGTTATAAATTCAACACAAATTTATTTATTTGAT